TTAATCTTTAAATCAAGTTCATCGCTAGTTTGGTTCTAATCTAGTTTTAGTTTCAGTTCTAGTTCTGTTCTAGTTCTGTTCTAGTTCTGTTCTAATTCTGTTCTAGTTCTAGTTCTGTTTCAGTTCTGTTCTAGTTCTGTTCTAGTTCTGTTCTAGTTCTGTTCTAGTTCTGTTCTAGTTCTGTTTAGTTCTGTTCTTGTTCTGTTCTAGTTCTATCAATATATCTATCTATCTATCTATGTATCTATCTATCTATCTACTATCTATCTATCTATCTATCTATCTATCTATCTATCTATCTATCTATCTATCTATCTATCTATCTATCTATCTATCTATCTATCTATCTATCTATCTATCTATCTATCTATCTATCTATCTATCTATCTATCTATCTATCTATCTATCTATCTATCGATCTATCTATCTACTCTCTATCTATCTATCTACCATATATCTATCTTCTATCTATCTATCTAGCTAGCTATCTATCTATCTATCTATCTATCTATCTATCTATCTATCTATCTTCTAGCTATCTCTATCTATCTATCTATCTATCTATCTATCTATCTATCATCTATATATCTATCTATCTATCTATCTATTATCTATCTATCTATCGATCCTACTTCTATCTATCGATCTATCTATCTATCTAGCTATCTTCTATCTATCTATATATCTATCTATTATCTATCCTATCTATTATCTATCTTCTATCTATCTATCCTATCTATCTATCTATCTATCTATCTACTATCTATCTATCTATCTATCTCTCATCTATCTATCTATCTATCTATCTATCGATCTATCTATCTATCTATGCTATCTACTATCTATCTATCTATCTATCTATCTATCTATCTATCTATCTATCTATCTATCTATCTATGTCTATATACATAAAGCCCGATTTGTTTCCTTCAGTTTGGTACTAATTTCCTAAAATCTCATCTCTAATTGTTGTTTTTGTTTTTAACTCATATGTGAACTTGCACTAGATTGCTAAAGAGTACATAAAAAAGGAATAAATAGAAAAAAGCCGGTAAAGGTAAACAAAGAGTTGTCTGCATTCTATTTAAGTAAGTGTATGTGTGTGTATTTAGAGTTTGTATGTGTGAGTGTGTTTAAAAATTTTGCAGTTGAAGAGAATATTGCACAATAACAACCCGTTTTTTTCAATTACATTTTTTAAAATTTTCTTTAATTTAAAATGAGAAAGGGATGATTTTTTGGTTCCTATTGTTGTTGTTGTGTGGCTGTTTTTTTATTTATTTACTTCTAGAGAAATCGTAAAAAAGCCCTTCATTTACGTAGATTCACCCCTTCGTCGTCAACTAAAACGTCAACGGGGGAAATAAAAAAGTGCGTTTGGGATTTAGGATTTAGGTGTGTGTGTGTGTTGTTGCTGTTGTTGTTTTTTGATTTTTGAAAGGATATGCTGTGAGGTCCTTTTGTATTTCTAACCGTTTTTTATTTTATTTAATATTTATTTTTCAAATTGATGCGTAAAGCAAAAAAGAGCGTATGAAATGCTGCCGACTTTTTTAAAAAAATAGAATTTTTTGTAAATAACGCGCAGCAGCCGGTAGTTGTTAAAAGTAACTCGTCCTTAAAACATTAAAAAACGCAAAATCTCTTTGAGACGAATTAAATTAATAAAAAAAAAACTTTAAACTATAAAGAAAATATTATTTGACAGTTAAGAAATGTCATTTGAAAAAGAAGTTAAAAACAAAATAAACAAATTGGTTTTTAAAGAAAATGTGTCAAAAAATAGAGAAATGTGTATGCTCCATCAAAGGAAAAAGAATCCCTCCCCCCCTAGAAAAGGAAATTGGGAAAACTTTAAAATCTACTCATCGTTAATGTAAACTTCGAGAGCTCGTGGAAATAAGTGGAAATTTTGTAAAATTTTATAGTGTTTTTTGCGCATGTGAAGTTTTAAAATTTTTCGATTATTTTTTAACAATTTGACAACTAACAACTTTACAGCTTTCTGCCTATAACAAAAAACAAGAAATTTTTAAAAATTAAAAATTTTAAAAAAATTATTTAAAAAATACAATTTAAAATAAATTGTAAAGTGTTTAAGTTTTTTAGAAAGAAAATCAAATTTTTAGGTTTTTTTTTTGGTGCTAAATTTACAAATTGTTATTTTTCGCTTAATTTATTTTTAAACAAATTGGCTGCCGTTTCATTTTTTAAAAAAAGGTAAATATTTTATTGAAAATTTATTTATAAACTATTGGTGTTTAAAGAATGTTTATTATTTATGGTTTTTAAGTTATTTTTTTAATAAATATTTTTATTGTTAAAAGTAGTAAAGCGGCATTAAACATGTATTTAATGATGGCGTCCATTTTGTTTATGCTTACCCAACAAACATTTTGTTTATGATTGATAAAATATGAAAGCTTTAACGAACTATTTAAATATATACAAATTTCTCTATAAGAGGAGCTAGTACTGAAGCTAAAGTTGGACCCATTATAGAGATTTTATTAACACTTTAATAGGTATATAAAAAGATCTAGTAATCCGGCGAAAATTAGCTTATAAAAAGATCTAACATTCAAAACAAAATCAAACTATAGAAAGACTAACCATTAAGGCTAAAGTTGAACTATAGAAAGATCAACAATTTAGGCAAGAATTGGACTACGAAAAGATCTACAAAAAGAATTCTAGTTAAGTTCAGGTTCAGATCTAGTTCAGTTCTAGTTCAGATCTAGTTCAGATCTAGTTCTAGTTCAGTTCTAGTTCAGTTCTAGTTCAGTTCTAGTTCAGTTCTAGTTCAGTTCTAGTTCAGTTCTAGTTCAGCTCTAGTTCTGTTCTAGTTCTGTTCTAGTTCAGTTCTAGTTCAGTTCTAGTTCAGTTCTAGTTCAGTTCTAGTTCAGTTCTAGTTCAGTTCTAGTTCGTTCATTCAGTTCTAGTTCAGTTTCTAGTTCAGTTTCTAGTTCAGTTCTAGTTCAGTTCTAGTTCAGTTCTAGTTCAGTTCTAGTTCAGTTCTAGTTCAGTTCTAGTTCAGCTAGTTTTTCTAGTTCAGTTCTAGTTCTTTTCAGTTCTAGTTCAGTTCTAGTTCAGTTTCTAGTTCAGTTCTAGTTCAGTTCTAGTTCTTTCTAGTTCTGTTCTAGTTCTGTTCTAGTTCGTTCTAGTTCTGTTCTAGTTCTGTTCTAGTTCTGTTCTGTTCTAGTTCTGTTCTAGTTCTGTTCTAGTTCTGTTCTAGTTCAGTTCTAGTTCTGTTCTAGTTCTGTTCAGTTCTGTTCTAGTTCTGTTTTCTAGTTCTGTTCTAGTTCTAGTTCTTTTTCAGTTCTGTTCTAGTTCTAGTTCTGTTCTGTTCTAGTTCTGTTCTAGTTCTGTTCTAGTTCTGTTCTAGTTCTGTTCTAGTTCTGTTCTAGTTCTGTTCTAGTTCTGTTCTAGTTCTGTTCTAGTTCTGTTCTAGTTCTGTTCTAGTTCTGTTCTAGTTCTGTTCTAGTTCTGTTCTAGTTCTGTTCTAGTTCTGTTCTGTTCTAGTTGTTCTAGTTCTGTTCTAGTTCTGTTCTAGTTCTGTCTAGTTCTGTTCTAGTTTTTCTGTTCTGTTCTGTTCTAGTTCTGTTCTAGTTCTGTTCTAGTTCTGTTCTAGTTCTGTTCTAGTTCTGTTCTAGTTCTGTTCTAGTTCTGTTCTAGTTCTGTTCTAGTTCTGTTCTAGTTCTGTTCTAGTTCTGTTCTAGTTCTGTTCTAGTTCTGTTCTAGTTCTGTTCTAGTTCTGTTCTAGTTCTGTTCTAGTTCTGTTCTAGTTCTGTTCTAGTTCTGTTCTAGTTCTGTTCTAGTTCTGTTCTAGTTCTGTTCTAGTTCTGTTCTAGTTCTGTTCTAGTTCTGTTCTAGTTCTGTTCTAGTTCTGTTCTAGTTCTGTTCTAGTTCTGTTCTAGTTCTGTTCTAGTTTCTGTTCTAGTTCTGTTCTAGTTCTGTTCTAGTTCTGTTCTAGTTTCTGTTCGAGTTCTGTTCTAGTTCTGTTCTAGTTCTGTTCTATTTCTGTTTCTAGTTCTGTTTCTAGTTTGTTCTAGTGTCTGTCTAGTTCTGTTCTAGTTCTGTTCTTAAGTTCTGTCTAGTTCTGTTCTAGTTCTGTTCTAGTTCTGTCTAGTTCTGTTCTATTCTTTTCTAGTTTCTGTTCTAGTTCTGTCTATAGTTTCTGTTCTAGTTCTGTTTTCTAGTTCTGTTCTAGTTCTGTCTAGTTCTGTTCTAGTTCGTTCTAGTTTCTGTTCTAGTTCTGTCTAAGTTCGGTCTAGTTCTGTTCTAGTATGTTCTAGTTCGGTTCTAGTTCTGTCTAGTTTTGTTCTAGTTCTGTTCTATTCTGTTCTAGTCTGTTCTAGTTCTGTTCTAGTTTCTGTTCTAGTTCTGTTTCTAGTTCGTTTTCTAGTTCTGTTCTAGTTCTGTTCTAGTTCTGTTCTAGTTCTGTTCTAGTTCTGTTCTAGTTCTGTTCTAGTTCTGTTCTAGTTCTGTTCTAGTTCTGTTCTAGTTCTGTTCTAGTTCTGTTCTTTCTAGTTCTGTTCTAGTTCTGTTCTAGTTCTGTTCTAGTTCTGTTCTAGTTCTGTTCTATTTCTGTTCTAGTTCTGTTCTAGTTCTGTTCTAGTTCTGTTCTAGTTCTGTTCTAGTTCTGTTTTTAGATCTGTTCTAGTTTCTGTTCTAGTTCTGTTCTAGTTCTTTCTAGTTCTGTTCTAGTTCTATTAGTTCATTCTAGTTCAGTTCAAGTTTAGTTTCTAGTTTAATTCTAGTTCTGTTCATTAAAACCGCTCATTAAAATGTTTTGTGGGTTAATTTTTTAAAGTTTTTTCTTTCTTGCATTTCTGCTTTCCACTACTATTCGTACGCATACATTTTCATATTTTAAAAGAGTTTTTAAGCGACGAAAAAGAGAAAGAGAAAGGGAGAGCATAAGAAAAACAGCAACAAGAAGTTGCACAATTGTTCGCACACACAAACAACAACAACTAAAACAGTTATACAAATGTCAGTCGCCATATTGCAGATACTAACGCCTTTTGACTTTTTAACTCGTGAAAAAAAAGTGAAGAAAAATTTAGAAAATTAAGAAAAACTAAGAAAATAATAGAAAATTTTTAAATAAATTAAAGAAAATAATAAATAATTAAAAAAAATTAAAAAAAATAATAGAAAGAAACTGCAACCATCAGTGGAGCACAGAGTATTGGTGAGCTATGAGTGTGTTAAGGCTGATGATGATGCATTGTTTGTCCAGGTGAATGAATCATGAATAGCAGCCAACCAACGCACCACTTTAAAGTTGGTCAAACAGTGCAAATAGCTGGCAAACATTTAGAGGGACGCATAGCTTACATAGGCAATACTAGCTTTGCTCCTGGCAAATGGATTGGTGTTATATTAAATGAAGAACGTGGTAAAAATAATGGCAGCGTTAAGGGTGTTAATTATTTCAAGTGTCCAGCCAATTACGGCATCTTTGTAAGACCCACTCAGCTGATAATGAAGAAATCTAATGTTATAGAGGAAACTAATGTTAATAGAAGAATGGAGGAATCTGGAAAATCCAAAAAGAATGCGGCGGCGGTAACTAAACTGCAAATGGCGGAGGGGGCGGCTGCTGTGGCGGCCGCCAGTTTGAAGAAGGTAACTAAACAGCCAACGGCTACCAATCTACTCAAGACTACTAAGATTAATCAACCCAAAGAGGTGACACCCTTACAACCCAGCACTAGTCAGGTTTCCTTGGTGCAAACCGTGGTGCCAGGCCCTTGTCGCACTCTAAGGCCGCCACCGGCTTTAGCACCCAAACGCAGTAAAACCTCCATGAGTCCCTCGGAAACATTTTGTTGTGCCAAACGTAGCTCATTTGTTGAAACCGGTTTTCTAGAGATTTTAAGACCACAATTTACACCGGGACAACCATTACGCTCGCCTACCTTTAGCACCATGATGTTAAATTCTAGCTCCAGTAATTTACAGGATCTCAAGCAGCAAACTAAACAATTGGAGGCCAGAATTGTGGAGTTGAATAAGGAAATTGAGGTCTTAAAATCTCAAAAAACCGAAGATATACGAAAACTACAAGACATGGAACGTTTGCGTTTACAAAATGAACAGTTAATGGAGTTCAAGGTGCGTATTATGGATCAGCAGACAGGATTGCAAAGGGAGCTGCAGCGTTTGAGACAGGAGTTAAGAGAGGTAAATGAGGCTAAGGCCAAGTATCAGAGAGAGTTAGATGAGGCTGCGGAAAATATAGAATTGCTAACCTTGGATAAAGAAATGGCCGAGGAAAAGGCTGAAACTTTGCAGCTGGAGTTGGAAATGTGTCAAGAACAAAATGAGGAATTGGCTTTGGATGTGGAGATTTTGAAAGCGGAAAATGAGCGCATGTTATTGGGCTCCGATAACAATTTGATCAACAAAGAAGAAATTAACAATTCTGTGGGTGAGATACGCAAACTGGAGCAATACAATCAACGTTTAAGGGAGACCGTCATCAAGCTAAGAGATGTCTTAACTTTAGAGAAACAGCAGTCGTTAAAAGCCTTTAAAGAGTTGGAAACTAATTCCTCGGAAATATTAGAACTGCGCAAAACTAAAGAGCTGTTAACGCAACGCTGTGATGTTATGGAGTCTCATATAATAGATCTAAGGGAACAAGTAGATGCCGCCTTGGGTGCCGAAACCATGGTGTCCAATTTGGCCAATGCTAAGCTGGAGTTAGAGGAAAGAGTGCGCTTGCTGGAGGAGGAGGTTAATGAGCTGGAGGCTTTAGAGGAGATACATGAACAATTGATTGAAAGTAATCAGGATTTGGAGCGTGATTTAAGAGAAGAAATCGAAATGTTGAATACTAATATTAGAACTTTACAACAGGAAAAGGATGCCGCCTTGGAAACGGTGTACGAAAGAGATTGCACTATTATGAAATTCCGGGCCTTAGTGAAAACCCTTAATGAAAGAGAACAGATAAGAGAACAGGTTAATTTGACTACACAGGCCTCCACCACAGCCACGGTTTCCACCTCTGAGGAACTAAACAGCATCTCCTCTAATCCGGAGTTTATGCCGGGAGTAGATTTCCAGCAGGTATTTGCCTCTACCAAGGCTTATGGCAGGGCCTTGGAGTTACAACTTTCCTCGGTAGATTTGAAAATGTTGCAGCTGCAAATTGAGTATTTGAAAGCTTTCCTACCCGAGGAATTGCTATTGAGAGGGGCCGCCTATGATGTTATCTTGATTTTGATTATTTTACAAAGATGCATGGAGAAAATCGATATTGTGTGCTCGGGTATTCATGAGAAATTCCCAGCTTCTTGTGAATTTGGTCGAGATGCCATATTTGAGGGTTATTCGGTCCATCGTTTTGCTTTTCGTACACGCTGCTTGTATCTTTTGCGTTCTCTTAAGATGATTCTGCTGCAATTGGAATTCGCCTTGAATCACTGTGACTATGAGATTTGCACTCATGCCGCCATCTATAGGGGGGAAATGGAAACGCAAGAAAAACAGTTAGATGAGGTATTGAAATTGCTAAAGAAAGGTTTGCTAGATGAGAACTCCCCAGTTGAGGGTCTAGAGCGTGCCGCCAGTTTCTTTAACACTTTGCTAAACAATCTTTTTGCTTCGCAAAATCTGGGTGAACTATTGGATGAACAGAAACTGTATGTTAGTCTTATAGAGGTCTATGATGTGGCCTTGGATTGTGTTAATACGCATGCCGGTTTGTTGTACACCATTATTCAACTGGGAGATGAGCATACCGACTCCTTTTGCAGCATGCAATTCCTTATGGAACATGCCAGATCTTTTAAAATGCAGCTTAAGCAGTTACAGCGCAAATTGCCCACCAAATCGGTTAGCTACAGCACTCTACAATGGCCTCAATTGCAAAGGCTCCATGAACGCAACGATCATTTGGGCAAACTCATCGAATTGTTGTCCTCCACGGCTCGTGAAGCCACCAAAGACATTGCCAATTCCTCCAAAACTGAGAATACCAATGAAATAGCCATTGACCATGAACGTTTGTGGCGTATAGTCAACTTGAATTGCAATAAATTGGCTCCCGAAGCCTTTCAACGTTCTCCCGTGGAGTTCTTCCATAACTCTGTCTTAATACTCCAAGAACAACTTGATGAATTCCAGCAATTTATCAAAGAAAGCGAACAGGCTTTAACCATTAATCTCAACACTCTGTACGTGCGTTCCAATGAGGTCACCATACTCCAACAGGCCAAGGAAATGAAAAAACATTACGATGAAACCAAACTATTGCAACATCAACTTTCCGAAAGGGAAAAAGATATCAAGACCCTTAAATATAAAGCAAAATTAAAAGACAACGACTTTTCCGAACTGCAAATAAGACGTGACATGGCCGAGAAGAATCTGCAAAAGCAGCAACAAGAACATGAACAATTACTGCAACAGGTATCGCAAAAAATGGAAGAACTACTCGAGGGCCTCCAACAGCAACAAATCAAATTTTTAACATCTCTACAGAACAACAACGATAAGCTTTTACTGCTCGAAAAAGCTCAAGAAAATCTTAAATTATGTTTAGCTTCCAATAATCAAACTCTTAGCTCCTGTTCGCATGAGGCTCTCAAAGAAATCGAGAGTCTAACGCAATGCATACGCTATCATCGGCAGGAGAATATAACGCTACAATCAAAATATCTAAAAACAGAATTTCTCAAACTTGATCCCCTCCATGTACCCCAAAGAGTTTCACAGTCACCGCAAGAACTTAAAGCTCTCGGCAAAGATTTGCAACATTTAAAAAAATCTTGGCTTTTAGGTTATATAGCCTTGCCTCAAACGGCCACAAAAACCACAATAGAGCAAGATGCTCAACAGTTGACACAGCATATCTTGTCTCTGTATTATCGTACACATCCACATCGTCAAATACTAAGCGATTTCGGACAATTTGGCACCCCCGAAGTTAAGGAATTATTTGAATAGTTTATTATGATTTTCTAGAGCAAAATAGTTTAAATTACATTTGGAGGATAAAAAAACGATAGTAGTTATTTAATAATAATTATGATAATAATCTTTAACAAATAGTTAATAATAATTTTTACTTAATCTTTACAGAAATACTTGAAACAAAAGGATGTTTAAAACTCAAAATTGTTCATTTCACAACTGTCCTCCATATTCCAAAACAGAATTATCTTCCTAAGAAGACAATTTTCAATCAAAAAAGTAACTTCCAAAGAAGACAATTTGCTAACAAGAAAACCAACCTATTTCTGCCAAAAAACCCAACTTCAACATAAGTTAAATTTCGCCTCCATTAAAGAATACTAACTTCCCAAGTTTTCTAAACGAAAACTATCTTCCAAAAGATAACACTTTTCAAGAAGAAAACTATCGTCCCCAAGAAGACACTACCTTGTAAAAGAAAACACTCTATAAGAAAACTAACTTCCAAAGAAGACACTTGTCGAGATGAAAACTATCTTCCCCATGAAAAACTTTTCTAAATAAGAAGTAACTTCCAAAAAAGACACTCTACGAAAACTGTATCCCCAAAGAAGACACTTTCTTATCCCCAAAACTGTCTTCTTCAAGAAGACACTTTTCTTGAAGAAAACTAACTTCTAAAGAAGACACTTTTCTAAACAAAAACAATCCTCACAAAGATGACTCGTATCTATACGCTAAACTGTCTCCCCAAACACGACACGAAAACTATCGTCCCCAAGAAGACGCTTTTCTATAAGAAAACAAAGTTCCAAAGAAGACACTTGTCTAGACGAAAACTATCTTCCCAAAAAACACTTTTCTACGTAAAAAGTAACTTCCAAAAAAGACACTTTTCTCTATGAAAGCTGCCTCCCCAAAGCTGCCACTTTTCCATGCAAAAACTGTCTTCCCCAAGATAACACTTTTCTAGAAAAAAAAACTATCATCCCAAATACGACTCTTCTATACCCAAAACTGTCTTCTTCAAGAAGACACGTTTTTTGAAGAAAACTAACTTCTAAAGAAGACACTTTTCTAAACGAAAACTGTCTTCCTCAAGAAGAAACTTTTCTAAACTAAAACTATCCTCCCACAGAAGTCTCGCATCTATACGCTAAACTCTCTCCCCAAGAAGACACTTCTAGAAAATGTTAATTTTTAGACAGTTTTCTTATAAAAAATTGTCTTCTAAAGATAGTTTCTGGATAGAAAAGTGTCGTCTAAAGACAGTTTTCCTATAGAAAAGTGTATTCTAAAGACAGTTTTCGTATAGAGAAAGTGTCCTCTAAGATAGTTTTCTGATAGCAAAAGTGTCTTCTAGGATAGTTTTCTGACAGAAAAGTGTCTTCTAAATACAGTTTTAGTATAGGAAAGTGTCTTCTAAAGACAGTTTTCGTATAGAAATGTATCTAATAAAGACAGTTTTGTATAGAAAAGTGTCTTCTAAAGACAGTTTTCTTATAGAAAAGTGTCTTCTCAAGACAGTTTTCGTATAGAAAGGAGTCTTCTAAAGCTAGTCTTCGTATAGAAAAGTGTTTCCTAAAGACAGTTTTCTTATAAAAAAGTGTGTTCTAAAGACAATTTTCGTATAGAAAAGTGTCTTCTAACGAGTTTTCTGATAGAAAAAAGACTTCTAAAGACAGAAATTTATTTTCTGTGAGCAGTTTTCTTTAGAAAATCACTTTTCAAGGGAGTTTTCTTTACAAAAATCACTTTTCAAGGCAGTTTTCTTTAGAAAAGTTTCTTTTGAAGGCAGTTTTCTTCAGTTTCTTTTGAAGACAGTTTTCTTTAGAAGTGTTTTCTGTAAGCAGGTTTCTTTTCAAAGCAGTTTTTTATAGAAAAGTCTTTTCTGTCAGCAGTTTTTTTGTAGAGAAGTTCCTTTTGAAGGCAGTTTTTCATAGAAAAGTCTTCTCTGTCAGCAGTTTTATGTAGAGAAGTTTTTTTTTCAACATTTTTCATCAGAAAAGTTTCTTTTGAAGGCAGCTTTTCATAGAAAAGTTTTCTTTGGACAGTTTTCTTTAGAGAAGTCCCTTTTTGAGACCGTTTTCTTTAGAAAAGTGTTTTCTGTAAGCAGTTTTCTATAAAAAAATTTATTTTGTAGTCATTTTTCTATAGAAAAGTGTTTTCTATAAACAATTTTCTTAAGAAAAGTTTCTTTTTTGAACAGTTCTTTTCAGAAAGTTTCTTTTCAAGGCAGTTTTTTATAAAAAAGTATTTTCTGTCAGTAGTTTTCTGTAGAGAAGTTTCTTTTTGAGACAGTTTTCTTTAGAAACGTCTTTTTGTGAGCAGTTTTCCTTAGAAAAGTTTCTTTTGAAGACAGTTTTCTCTAGAAGTGTTATCTGTGAGCAGTTTTCTTTAGAAACATTTCTCTTTTAGACAGTTTTCTTTAGAAAAGTGTTTTCTGTGAGCAGTTTTCTTTAGAAAAGTTTCTTTTAAAGACTGTTTTCTTTAGAAAAGTTTTATCTGTGAGCAGTTTTCTTTAGAGAAGTTTCTTTTTGCGACAGTTTTCTTTAGAAAAGTTTTTTTGAAAGCAGTTTTTTATAGAAAAGTCTTTTCTGTGAGCAGTTTTCTTTAGAGAAGTTTATTTTTGAGACAGTTTTCTCTAGAAGTGTTTTCTGTAAGCAGTTTTCTCTAGAAAAGCTTCTTTTAAAGACAGTTTTCTTTAAAAAAGTTTATTTTTTAAACAGTTTACTTCAAAAAAGTTTCTTTTCGAGGCAGTTTTTTATAGAATTTTTTAAAGAATCTTTTCTGTGAGCAGTTTTCTTTAGAAAAGTGTTTTCTATAAGCAGTTTTCTCTAGAAAAGTTTATTTTGTAGTTAATTTTCTATAGAAAAATCTTTTCTGTGAGCAGTTTTCTTTAGAAAAGTTAATTTGAAGACAGTTTTCTTTAGAAAAGTGTTTTCTATGAGCAGTTTTCTTTAGAAAATGTTCTATTTTGAACAGTTTTCTTCAAAAAAGTTATGAATTGAACAATTTTAGTTTTATAAGTCTTTTATAAAATCAGCTTAATTTTGGGAACAAGTTCCTTTTGAAAAAAGAAAAACAACAACAAAAACTCTTTATTATTGTTAATTTTAATAAACAAAAAAACTCATACTTCGCCTTGTTTTAACAGTAAACATTTTGTGATTTTATTAAAAATAATTAACTAAAAACAAAAAAACTAAACAACTCATATAATGAATTAAAAAAATGAAAATAGAAAAGAATTAGAGACAAAAAACACAATTGAGAATAAAATTGAGAACAAAAACAGTATTAGAAATGAGAAAAAGTAACAAAAATTATTTAAACTATTTAATTAAAAAATTTAATTGCTGCAAACAAAATTTCCTTAGCTTAATTGTGTTTAAACAAAGAAAACTTCCATTTATTGTTTTAAACAAATTAAGTTCTTTCTGGTTTAAAAAAAAAATAAAGAAATATTTAGTTTAAAATATTTTATCAGAAACACAATATAATATATTAAAATAATTATTAAATATTATTAAATAAAACAAAAAAAAAATATTGTATTAAAAATTAATTAAAATAATATTTAAAAAAATTACAAAAATATTGGAAACAAATAAAATTTGTTTTTCTGTTGCATTTTGAAAATTTCAAATAAAAATTATAGAAAAAAAACGCCATTTTTAATTTCTCACTAAGTCCACCAAAAAAGTAAAACCTATAAACACCCTTAGGTAAAGGAGGTAAGTAATCAAGTGATCCTGTTTTTTTCCAAACACTCAAACTGACCGTTTCTAATGCTACAACAAACAACCCTTAGTTGTTGTATTACAATTTTATGGTTATTAGCAGTGGATGTTGTTGGTCAAGGGTAGTGGTTGTTTTGTTGTTGTTGTTATTTTCTCTAGGTTTTATTTTTTGACATCTGTCATTTGTTTTATTTAGTTTAAAACTGACCAATAGTAGGAGTTTGTAGACAAGTTGTACTGTACTATTTGATTCGAAAGATCTTTCATTTTGTTATGCAGCTAGTCTTCTAAAACGCAGTTTTCCAATAGAAATGTGTTTTATAAAGACAGTTTTTTATGGACAAGACTAGTTAAGACAGTTTTTTATAGACAAGACTTGTCAAAACAGTTTTCTATAGAAAATTAGTTTCTGAAGATAGTTTTCTTAAAGAAATGTATCTTCTAAAGTCAGTTTTCTATAGAAAAGTCTTCTGAAGACAGTTTTCTTAAGACAGTTTTTTCTTTATAAAGTGGCTTTACTAGACAGTTTTCTTTAGAAATATGTTCTGTAAGCAGTTTTCCTAGAGAAATGTATCTTCTGAAGACAGTTTTCTATAGAAAAGTCTTCTGAAGACAGTTTTCTTATAGAAAAATGTTTCCTAATCAGTTTTTATTTATAAAGTGTCTTTACTAGACAGTTTTCTTTAGAAATATGTTCTGCAAGCAGTTTTCTTAGAGAAATGTATCATCTAAAGACAGTTTTCTATAGAAAAATCTTTTGAAGACAGTTTTCTTATAGAAAAATGTTTTCTAAAGACAGTTTTTCTTTATAAAGTGTCTTTACTAGACAGTTTTCTTTAGAAATATCTTCTGTACATTTTCTTAAAGAAATATATCTCCTGAAGACAGTTTTCTATAGAAAAGTCTTTTGAAGACAGTTTTCTTATAGAAAAGTGTTTTGTAAAGACAGTTTAGATAGTTTTCTTATAGAAAAGTGTTTTACTAAACAGTTTTCTTTAGAAATATCTTCTGAAGGCAGTTTTCTTAGAGAAATGTATCTTCTGAAGACATCTTTCTAGAGAAATGTCTTTTGAAGACAGTTTTCTTATAGAAAAGTGTTTTCTAAAGACAGTTTTCTTACAGAAAAGTGTCTTCACTAAACAGTTTTCTTTAGAAATATGTTCTGTAAGCAGTTTTCTTAGTGAAATGTATCTTCTGCAAACCGTTTTCTATAGAAAAGTCTTCTGAAGACAGTTTTCTTATAGAAAAGTGTTTTCAAAAGACAGTTTTCTTATAGAAAAGTTTCTTCACTAAAGAGTTTTCTTTAGAAATATGTTCTGTAAGCAGTTTTCTTAGAGAAATGTATCTTTTTTCTATAGAAAAATCTTCTGAAGACAGCTTTTCTAAAGACAGTTTTTTCTTTATAAAGTGGCTTTACTAAACAGTTTTCTTTAGAAATATGTTCTGTAAGCGGTTTTCTTACAGAAATGTATCTTCTGAAGACAGTTTTCTATAGAAAAGTCTTCTGAAGACAGTTTTTTATACAAAAGTGTTTTCTAAAGACAGTTTTTCTTTATAAAGTGTCTTTACTAAACAGTTTTCTTTAGAAATATGTTCTGTAAACAGTTTTCTTAGTGAAATGTATCTTCTGAAAGCAGTTTTCTATAGAAAAGTCTTCCGAAGACAGTTTTCTTATAGAAAAGTGTTTCCTATAGACAGTTTTTCCTTATAAAGTGTCTTTACTAAACAGTTTTCTTTAGAAATATGTTCTGTAAGCAGTTTTCTTAGTGAAATGTATCTTCTGAAGACAATTTTCTATAGAAATGTCTTTTGAAGACAGTTTTCTTATAGAAAAGTGTTTTCTAAAGACAGTATTTCATTATAAGGTGGCTTTACTAAACAGTTTTCTTTAGAAATATGTTCTGTAAGCAGTTTTCTTAATGAAATGTATCTTCTGAACACAGTTTTCTATAGAAAAGTCTTCTGAAGACAGTTTTCTTATAGAAATGTTTTCTTAAGACAGTTTTTTTTATAAAGTGGTTTTACCACTGTTCTGTAAACAGTTTTCTTAGTGAAATGTATCTTTTGAAAACAGTTATCTATAGAACAGTCTTCTGAAGACAGTTTTCTTATAGAAAAGTGTTTTCTAAAGACAGTATTTCATTATAAGGTGGCTTTACTAAACAGTTTTCTTTAGAAATATGTTCTGTAAGCAGTTTTCTTAGAGAAATGTATCTTCAGAAAATAGTTTTCTATAGAAAAGTCTTCTGAAGACAGTTTTATTTAGAAAACTTTACTAAAGGCAGTTTTCTTAGAGAAATTTATCATCTGGAATCAGTTTTCTTTAGAGGAAGCTTGTCAAGGCAGTTTTCTAATAAAAAAAAAAGTGTATTCTCAAGACAGTTTTCTATATCTCAAGACAGTTTTCTCTAGAAACGTTTTTTCAGGGCAGTTTTCTGAAAGAAATTTATCTTCTTAAGACAGTTTTCTTTAGAAAAATCTTATCAAGGCAGTTTTCTAATAAAAAAGTGTCTTCTCAAGAAAGTTTTCTATATAAATGTCTTCCCAACGCAGTTTTCTTAAAGAAATTTTTAGTCTGGAATCAGTTTTCTTTAAAAGAAGACACTTTTTTATTAGAAAAAAAGTGTCTTCTCAAGACAGTTTTCTATATAAATGTCTTCTCAAGGCAGTTTTTTTAAAGAAACCTGTTTTCTGAAGACAGTTTTCTATATCTTAAGACAGTTTTCTTTAGAAACGTTTTCTCAGGGCAGTTTTCTTTAGAAAAATCTTATCAAGGCAGTTTTCTAACAAAAAGGTGTCTTCTCAAGACAGTTTTTTTATATAAATTTCTTCTCAAGGCAGTCTTTTTTAAGAAATCTGTCTTCTGAAAACAGTTTTCTATAGAATTGTATTCTCATGACAGTTTTCCTTACAAAAGTGTCTACTAAAGACAGTTTTTTTGGAAAAGAGTCTTTTGAAGACAGTTTTCTTTAGAAAAGTTTCTACTGAAGACAGTTTTCTTTAAAAAGTGTCTACTGAAGACAGTTTTCATTAGAAAAAAGTCTACTGAAGACAGTTTTCATTAGAAAAAAGTCTACTGAAGACAGTTTTCTTCAGAAAAATGGCGAGTGAAGACAGTTTTCTTTAGTAAAGTGTCTACTGAAGACAGTTCTCTTTATAAAAGTGTCTATTGAATACAGTTTTCTGTAGTAAAGTCTCCACCGAAGACAGTTTCATTAGAAAAGTGTATTTTGAAGACAGTTTTCTTTAGAAAAGTGTCTACTGAAGATAAGTTTCTTTAGATTAGTGTCAACTGAAGACAGTTTTCTTTAGAAAAGTGTCTACTAAAGACAGTTTTCTTTAGTCAAGGTTCTTTTGAAGACAGTTTTCTGTAGTAAAGTGTATTTTGAAGACAGTTTTCTTTAGAAGTGTCTACTGAAAGCAGTTTTATTTAGAAAAGAGTCTACTGAAGACAGTTTTTTTAAAGTGTTTACTGAAAACAGTTTTCTTTATAAAAGAGTCTGAAAACAGTTTTCTTTATAAAAAAGTCTACTGAAGGCAGTTTTCCTTAGAAAAGTCACTGCTGATGACAGTTTTCTTTAGAAAAGTGTCTACTGAAGACAGTTATCTTTAGAAAAGGGTCTACTGAAGACAGTTTTCTATCGAAAAGAGTCAACGGAAGACAGTTTTCTTTAGAAAAGTGTCTACTGAAGACAATTTTCTTTAGAAAAATGTCTACTGAAGACAGTTATCTTTAGATAAGTGTCAACTGAAGACAGTTTTCTTTAGATAAGTGTCAACTGAAGACAGTTTTCTTTAGAAAAGTCTCTGCTGAAGACAGTTTTCTTTAGTAAAGTGTTTTTTGAAGACAGTTTTCTTTAGAAAAGTTTCTACTGAAGACAGTTTTCTTTAGTAAAGTTTCTACTGAAGACAGTTTTCTATAGTAAAGTTCTTACTAAAGACAGTTTTCTTTAGTAAAGTGTCAACTGACATTATCTTTCTCTTAATAGTCTTTTCCAAAAATTCTATTTATAATATTTTATTCTTCATAAATAAA